AATTAATCTTTTTAAATTATGTAGTAACTTCTGACCCATTCTGTACATATATTTAGGAATATATGAAGATCAAAGAAGAACAACATATGTTTTAACTTACATGAGAATTAAATTCTTATTGCAAATGATCTGCATATATTCCTTCTATGTCTCTCTGCAGTTGATTACAAATATTTCTATAGATCGACTTAAAGATGTGTGGGAGAAAATCCTTGTTCCTATTCTCTTTCTTTCTAAAAACAAACGAGATGGTGAAAGAAGAACAAGGAAGAACATTTCCAACGCGAGATACTGTATAGAAAACATGGACCTTGAATGAGCAATAAGAAAGAACAAAGAATCTGAACTTTGTAATTGGCAGACAATGAGATTAATTTATTACCCTCAGGGATATGCTTGAGATACTTCATAGGCAACCCTACTCCTCTCTTTCTTTCTCTCTCTCTCTTTTATCAACGAAAGAAACAGAAAGGGGAAAAAAAGAAAGATAATGAGAAAGAAAAAAGAAGTAACCTCAATTTCTAAAATTCAAACTATTAAATAAGAAGAACACGATTAATCAAAATATAAAATTAACCTTTGCTTACCACCCTTCCTGGAGTAACACGCACACTTTTAGAAAAATTGTTATAAAAAAGAAACTATTGCATAGATTTACTTAAACATTTTTTTCAGACTTCTTTAATACTTACTTCAAAAGATTATATAAGTTTTATAGCTTTAAATTAAATTTAAATATGTTGAAAAAAAATGATCAAAGTTGAACAATTGAGAAAAATGGCTCAAGTTGCAAAAAAGGTCGTCTGGGTGATCCTTTGGATCAAGTGTGGTAAGTAAAGGTTAAAACTACTACGGAATAAAAAGAATATACAATTTAATGGGAAACCCCCAAATAGAAAGATTATGTCGATGTGCCCATCATATTAAAAAAAGAAAAAAAAGAAAAGAAAAAGAATAGAAAAAGTGGAAAAGAATAAAAAGAATTTTGGTTACATTCGCCAACAACGGGTTCGCAATTTAGGTTGACCCGGCTAACCTTGAATCGAGTCTCGGTCGTGGGTTTCATCGTCCAACAAACGCGACATGTGAGAGACAGAGAAAAAGCGGAAGAGTCAAGAAAGAGAAAGAAAGAGAAAGAAATATATCAAAACGAATAACAACGATGGAAATAAACTGACAAGAGACCAACCAAAATTTCTTTTTTATCTAATAACATATTTTCGATCATGACTCATTGTTAGATCAGATTAATAAGTTAAAAAAAACAATGCACATTCTTTTGATCATATTCTAATAATACATAGGAATAATAATAATAATCGTCATATCACGAATTACATTTTTGTATTGTATAATTAATCGTAATAGTAATTAAAAGATTAGCCTAATGAAAGAGAGGGAGGGAGGAGAAGGATCAATAATATTCGACCAAATGAACTCATTATCGCTAAGTATGATCAAACGTGCACACCAATCAGGAAGGGTCGCTTTCACAATCGACCAATCGAAATCTCGTATTTCACGATATCACTATTCTACGAACTAACTAACTTTCTAAGAAATTAAGAACGATGGGGGGAAAAAAAAACAAATCAAATCAAATCAAATCTATGCCGAATAACAAGCTTAATTTTATAATAAACAAAGAAACAAAAGAAAAAGAAAAAAAAAACAAAATCCCTATGAATTACAAACGATTAGTACACATTTCTAGTGTATAAATATTATTTCACGTTAAAAAATAAGAAAAAAAAGATGACAGAGAATACAAAAACATGGATGTAATTTCTCCCATATTTAGATATGTGATAATAAAATCTGACTGTTACGACGCAAAATTCTGTACGACTTTTATCGAGAGAAACATTGGAAAAAACTATATACACACACACACACACACAAAACATATCATACAATACACCGTTCATATGTACACATAACAGTTATAATATATACTTTCTTATCAAGTATTACAACGAAAATATGTTTATACGAAAAATGCCTCGTGCATTATACCGCGCGTATACGTTAAAAAGAATTTGATGAAAAACAACACCATTACCATTTTCCATAGGCGTAGGATTTGGTGGAGGACGATCTCCCTAAACGAATTTCAACACTAATCCTAATGAATGAAAAATGAAGGTAGGAAAAAGGAAGATGTGATCCCGCTTGTCAACGACGACGACGACGACGGACAAGGATAGAAACAGATGGAAAGAAATAGAAAGAGATACTAACATTTATAATGTATACACATATATACATATAAAAAAAAAAAAAAAAAAAATTCTACGATGAAATCATTTCGAAATGTTACTTTTGAAAAAAAAAAAAAAAAAAACACGTCCACGCCTAATTTGTTTTCAAGCTTATCATCACGAACAAAAGATACTAAACTTTGATATCCCATTTTCTTTTCGTAGAACGTGGTGTTTCTCTTCTTTCACAGATTTCTCTAATTTCAAATAAAACATCGAGTAGAAAAAGAAGGAATTATAGGAGCGTAATCGATTCTAACGTAAATATATTATTATTATTATTATTATTATTTGAAAAGTATTGGAAGAAATATGTAAAGTACATCCGTAGGAAATACGTTGATCGAATGAAAACCGGCGTCGTAACCCGGCAAGCAAAGAAAAGTAAGAAAGAAAGAAAGAAAGAAAGAAAGCGAGCTAACAAGACAAGACGCTCGGGATTTGTGAAGGGCATCCAGTCACTGAAAAAGCTACGCTTTTTCTTTTTTTCTTCTCCACGTCCTTTTTTTCTCTCTTCGTGCTCCTTTCTTTTCTTGCTCCTTACCGCAAGTAAACGTCTACTACTATCACGACGACTTTGATCGAACAACGACGAAAATTAAACGAAAAACATTATCTAATATCGTTTACGATACTAACGTTCGAGATAGTTGTTGTTGAATAAATGTGACTTACCGTTAGGACGATCAAATTATCCCGAGGAAATATCGAAGAAGAAATACGGGACTGTTTCTTTCTCGCAGTGTGTTACTGGCAACGTCACTTCACTCGTTTCTCTACGCCGGTCACTGCGCCTGTGTGTCGTCTTGTATCTTACGACTCGAAACCTATCCTTACTTCGGTTAATACTGCTGTCGCCATCTACCGCTACATTTTTCAAACGTTCCCAATCTCTTACACGATGACGTCCTGTGATTGGTCAGATTTTCATTTACCGTGGTAAAATACAATTTTACGTTCCCTTTTAAAATTGACGCATGCCGGTATTTGTCGAAATGAAGTATTTTATATTTATATTTATTTTATAATTATTGCTAATTCGATTAAATATCAATATGTATATGTATACATATATATTGTGTTGTGTTATGTTTAAAGTTTTGTGTGTATATCAGTTCTTTTTATTAGTTTCAATAATTTATTTATCATTTGTGTTACACCATGAAAGGTAAATCCATATTTTTCTTACCGTTTCCGATATATAAAAAACCGTAATGAGGTTTATTTAATCTGTGATAAAATGTCATTCCAGGCCAGTATAAATTGTGAAGGATTATTAAATTGGAATCCATAAGAAGTTGCATACTCCAGCATCCTAAGTAAGACATACATTTTTACATTTTTACATTTTTCTTCTATGCATATCTCATTGATTAAAAGAATAATGAAAATATTTCATACGATTTAACAAAATTAGAGTTTATCTATTTTTCAAAATGATTAATAATTTGTCGAATAGACTTTTGGTTTATACCCTGAGGAATATCCAAATCGATGCTGTCAAGAAAATCGATAGCATAATCGTAATCAGGTCTCGTTAATAAATTAGTATTCCACTTTTGTTGAGGAGGACGTGCATGTTGATAGGATTTAAGATTAAGTGCATCTGCTTCGTCTAATCCCTCAAATGCTAAATTTTCAATAACATCTCCATTTGGACATTTGAACCATCCACCACGTGGAATAATTACTGCTTCTTCTGTTATTGTATCAACTATGGTTGCCAAACGATCTTCCTCTTTTAATTCCTTCGGTATTGGTCCCTGAATAAAAACATATATATATATATATATATTTAATATTGGAAGTATGTTTTAGATAATCACGAGTTTGCAACGTTTTATTGTACGTTGTAATATTGCTTAGGATCTTCATTTGTTGGAAATGGTGGATTAGAATCGTAAACGTTCGTCACTATTGATGGTTCTCCTTCGAATTTATTAATTGCAAGGGGTGTTAAAAATTTACCATACTTTTCTGGCTTTGGTAATAATAACCAATTTAATCTATCCATACTGTTTACAAATGAAACAATTATTCATATTATTTTTGTCTTCATATGGACAAAAGTTGAACAATTGGAGAAAAGATATTTTTATAACCTGTAATAATATATTTTTCCATTCATACAATCTTTTTTGTATCCATAAGCTATGTGATAATCATTTTGTATAGCATTTATTTGACCCCAATAATAACACTTTCGAAATTGATTTTCTTTTTGCAATATCAATAGGGAATTTTTCAATAGCTGAGAATTTTCCGTGCTCACGCATATTCCCGCGTAACCTAAAGTATCAATGGTATCCAACAATTTTGAATATTCCATTTATTTTGTTCTTAATCTTTAACAATTTATATTCAGATCAATTGTTTTAAATAGAAAAACAATATTCCCCAATCATCAAAATTCAATTTGATTTTTATAAATATTGTACAAATCTTTCATTTAGGATTACAGGAGTTAGGGGTTAATTAGATTATTTAAATAAATAATTGATAATCGATTTGTGAAGGTAGCAACGTTGCATCTTTTATGATTTGTCAAATTAATATAGTGCCATCTTAAAGATCAAATACAGAATACTTTTTTTTTTTTGTACAAAAACTTCCTCTTAGTGGATTTATCATATAAATACATAATAACTCTTATTATAACTAAATTTAATATTATTCTTCTTCTATATCAATATCAAACATTTCTACAATAGTATTAGTAGTAATTTGTACTCACAGTAAAAAAAGAAAAACTAGAGAGCTATATCGTTTATTAATATGAGAAATAATCCTTATATTTAATTAGAATTTTGTTAATACTATTTACATTGAGAACATAGTTTGAAAAAGTTTGAAAAGTTTTCAAGTTTCAATAGCTACAACTACAAATACATATATATATATAATACAAAAATAACTTCTCTTTATTCGATTCTATTCTGATATCATTAAAATGATATCATTAAGTAAGTAATATCATGCAGTATTAAAACGACTTTTTATTATCTGTCCAATAAGATGAAGCGTTTGAAAAGTTTTGTTTGGATAAAGTCGTTGTCTTATTAAATAAAATGCTATTCCTTTAAGAAAAATAAGAATAATAATGAGGACCAAGAGATCTATCCAATAAATAGTATGTTCCATCTCTAAAATAACAATGAATTAAAAGATATTTTCAATATGATTAAGATATATTGAGAATTTGTTGAAAAAAAAAAAAAAACAAATATACATATAACTCTTACTCATTAGCCGCAATAATTCTATTGGCGAATGTATGGGACAAAAAACTTCTTCTGGTGGACAATACAATTTTCCTCTGTTAAATCCATACATTGATATTACCAGACCTTCCAATCCGTATCTTAAATAACTAGAATACATGACTATTATACGATAAATAGACAGTGGCTCAGGATCTCCCATGCCTTGGATAGAAACTAACATTAAAGAAGCTGCTAATGCTGGTCCAATAAACATACCATTCTGAAACATATAATGTATAATCTATAACATAAACTTGAAATATATGAAAGAAATGAATTTTATAACAATAAGACGTACCACCACATTTAACATGGAGGCAATAGATAGACCTATACTTTCAGCAATAAAAGCACAAACGAGACAAATGATGAAAAATCTGCTTATCCTACTAAATTCTAAGGGTTGTCCAGTGATATTATAAACCATCAAGACGTAAATCAATGTATTAAAAAACTGTAAAATTAAATGTCATTTAAGTGTCAAGTAAGTTTATAAAGTTTTTTTTAAATATATACATTATAATAACATCTGTACGAACCTGAACAGGAACATAAGATAGAGTGAGAGCACAATAATAGGAACTGAGATTGTACCATCTGTTAAAGTGTTCTCTTTTGACCAGATTGATCTCGGAGGGATCTGAAATAGTTGAAATTATCAATTATAAATATTTCTTCTTTGACTTTCTATAGGTGCAAGTAGATTCTTACATACAATGTAACAATATCGGAAACATTGGTATATAAAGGAATATGATTAAACAGATAAAGCAAAAACCAAAGTTAAAAAGAATTTTAGAGGCATCATTCCCAATGTTTAGAAAGATGAGACCATTTATGATACCCATAAATATATATAAAGATATCTTGAGGTATACGTATTTCTGAAAAATAAAAAAACATGACAAGATATATTCGTATAAGAAAATGGACTTTTTGTCTTTGTTATTTGTTCTTACTCTATCCCTATATAATTGGAGCATCATCCTTTTAAATAATGTGATGAATTGCAAGTACCATGATATTCGAAAATTTGTTCTTTCCAATTGGAATTTTGTGGTAGTTTGTTTGACGGGTAAAATTGGTAAATTTCTTTCAACGTATGCGATCATTTGATCAATCTTTTCTTTTCCGTATTCTCCTGTTGAAAGTTCAATAACTGTAAAGGAAATGAACATAAGATGAAATATAAGAAATGAAATGTAATTATAAATACAAATGTCTGTTAAAAAAAATACTTACTGAAATCAGCTGGATTATAATGAATCGGACATTCAATATTAATATGTTGCAAAAATGATACTATATTATTAGATGGACCTCTATAAACGCATTTTCCATTTGCCATAACGTATACGTTATCAAACTGAGAAAAAATAGATGCACTTGGTGTGTGAATCGAACAGATTATTGTTCTACTTAAATGTTTTGTTAATTTTTTAAGAAGTAAGATGCTTTGCATCGAAGATAATTCATCCAGTCCTCTGAAATTGGTTTATTATATTTCAAAGACTATTTTTTGACAATAGTCTTTTAAGAAAGATGAAGAAAATAAATAATTGTTTGTTAACTTACGTAGTAGGTTCATCAAGAAATAATATTGATGGATTATTCACCATTTCTAAGGCAATAGATAATCTTTTCTTTTCTCCACCAGAAAGTGTATCTGAAATTGTATTCCTTGCATTGGTTAGCCTTAATATACTTATGATTTCTTTTATCTGAAATTARTAATAATAAATTCAAATGTGAAAGTTTCAAATCAAAGTTTATGCTTTGAATTAGTGAATTCATTTGCAAATCATCTACTTACTATTGCACATTTCTCTTTTTTCGTTAATTTAGAGCCAATCTTTAGATCGATTGCGAAATGCATTGACTCGGAAACCGTAAGTTTTGGCTGAATTAGATCATTCTGCATTATATAACAAGAACATTTTTTAAATTCCTTTAAATCTCTTGGTATTCCATTAATGTTTATTGAACCGGTTGCACCTTGACATCTGAAAGACGTTCAGAACAAGAAATATCAAAATATTCAAATAATCAATAAAATCGAATGAAAATGTTGTTATTGCAGTATCTTATAATACTTACTTATATCCAGCTAGAATGTTTAATAAAGTTGATTTTCCTGCTCCGGAGGCACCCAAAATAGCCGTTAATTCGCCGGATTTAAATTGACCACTTATTCCTCGTAAAATTACTTTTGAACCTTGGATCGGACAAATAGATAAGAATATTTCTTTGTTTTTCTTTTTTTTTTCTTTTTTTTTCTTTTTTCTTTATTTATGAATAAAGATAGATACATGTAAATATGTTTAAAATAAACGCGTAATATTGAAACGCGTGTAATGGTGCAATGAGAATTGTAAATATGATTGTACGAAAACATTTATTTCGTTTTTCACTATTTCCGGTCATCAATAAGTCATCGATAGTATTTTTCAAATGTCATTGATTGTCATTGACATCTTTGCATAATTTATAATAAATTAAACACACGAGGAAACATTTTTTAATCATATATATATATATATTTGGAGAGAGAGTGGTCTCCAATAGAGGCGAAGGTCAGTGTCGGATGTCAAGAGTAAGCCGTTAAGAATGCCAGATCAAATTTCGGTCTTTATTGAATCTCGTCAGTTAATTTCTATTCTCTAGTCGCTATCTCAGTCGAATTCGAACTCAATGTCGTTCGGCTAAATTCGGCCCGGGGGCGATCGGGCCCCGTCGCTGCTGAGCGCGCACCGCCACATATATATATATATATATATATACTTATAAATATATTTAGTTATTATATTTTTATGAATTTGTGATAATTGAAGACGTTATTGCCTGTAGCAACCAATTATTGACCTCAAATACATCCACATTTTCCAACTCGTTAACGTTAATTGTAAACGGAAAGCAAGCAATTGTATTTTATTTTATTTTTCTTCATTATTTACGTATTTCATAAAAGTGCATATTCATTCAAATATTTCGCATGGCACAGAAACGTTTGCTGTACAAAGTACATCAAACAAAATAGAAGACTTTTCTATTTGAACATTAACAAACTTTATAATAGCTACTGGTTACATCAATTTGATTTTAAAATTGTGGTTCTCGTTGAATAATTAATTAATGTTACATTACAAATTGTAACATTTAAGAGGAAACCGATTCAACCGATGGAGGAATATTCATTAAATTTAAATGATTACTATAAGTAATTAATAAGATTTATATGATTAATCATTAAATCGAAAATAAGGAAACAATCTTTTCTAAGTGATGTAAGATAATTGAATAGAAAGACAATTTTCTAGCGGAAGTATCTCGAGCACTTTTATGACGTTTCTTGTGAACACCTATTATTAAAATAGTTCGCGATTTAAACGATTCTAACGCATTCACCTGTTCAACAAAGAAGAATTATTGATGAAAGTTTGTAACCTTCCCTGTCATACTTTTTTCTTTCCGATTACTTTCACGCGATGATAAGTAGTCATATTTTCTAATGAAAATGAATACTACAAATTTCTTATCATTTAATTATTAAATGCTTCAAATGAAAATAATTCAATGCTTCGTCGAAGTTTCTAATTATAATTAAAATATATATGCGTGCTATTAAGAAAAATTACAATTAATTATTAATTTACGATTTTGCATTGACGTAAGAGATTATATAATCGACATTAAAGTAGAGAATAATGAAAATATTTCAATTCTGACCGAAAAATAAAAAGACAACAATTTATGTTGTGGGTGAATAGAAAGTGAATGTTTATTATTCTATTGCAATGTTATCTGGAATAATAATAATCATAATCATAATCATAATCATAATAATGATAGAATGTACCACCTCTTGGAAATATACTCTTAACGATATTTTTACATATCATATTTTGTTCACATTCAAGAAAATTTCCAAATAATTAACTAATATTATTAATCGTTAAAGTGAATAAATCATTTGTGATTATATATATATATATGCAATGAAATAAATGATTATTCAATGAATGAAAATGACTGTTAATGACAAGAGTGTCTTTTTATTTTTATTATTCGATTAACAAGGATCCTGCGTAATAGCTTATGCTAATGTTTTTCTTTTTCTTTTTCTTTTTATTTTCCTGCTATATTAAAGTGTGTTTACATTATCTTTTTTAATACGTCAGGATTGTAATTTTTATCTTCATTGCTTCCTTATTTTTTTTTATACAATCCAAATATTTATGAACTAATAATAAGGAATACAAAAGATTAAAAAAATGTAGAAGAAGAAGAAGAAGAAGAAGAAGAAGAAGAAGAAGAAGAAGAAGAAGAAGGGGAAACATAAAAAAACAAAAAGAGACAAACATTAATTACTTGTTTTTTTTTGTAAGTCTTATGCCGTCACTCGTATCGTAGAATAACTATCAAACAAATACTTTGACAACATGCGTTTAACAATTGGACAAAAAATATATTAGACTAAAGAATTTTGTATAAAAAAACACTCATTAAAGTGTCTAACACATAATAAATACCTACACAAATTAACGTGTTTGCATTTGCGACATTGAATGAATAATTAAAGACGCATATTAGAAATTGCAATGATTCAGACTGTATATTATTCTTAATATTATGAGCCTTTTTTTCTTTTTTTTGTGAACAAATAAGATGACCAAAAGAAAAGATTGCTATTTTTGATTCGTAATAAAATTTTGTAAAATGTTTTAATATCTATGCAGATAAATAAAAAATGAATAGAAAAGAAAAGGAACAAAAGGGCTGTGTCTGTTTAACATGTGTAAAAAAAGGAACGGAACAACGTCAAAAATTCAAAACAAATTCTTCTTTCATTTATATAAAAGAATTTATGGAAGGATTTATTCATTGCTTACCTTTTCCTTCGTATGGCACGCTGTATGTTAAATCGTGAAAATCGATATCCAAAGGTGCTAATTTTGTAAGATGTCCAAAAGTAGTAAAAGTTTCCTCATCAAATGGATTACCATCTTTCAAAGTTTCCTTTTTTTTCTCTATTTTATCCATTTTTTCTGTTCTTTTTGGTATTTCAATAGATAATAAAAATTGTATCTTCGAAAGATTCATAAACTTCTCGACATTTGATTCATTCTTAATAATTTCAATTGTCTTTCGTGAATTGCTAAAAATAAAATAGTCATCAGATCTAATAATATTCAATATCTATTCAATGAGAACAGATTCATTTGTTTATAAGATAATAATGTTATATAGACGAATCATATTTAGACAATTTTTCTAAGCTTATTCAATAATATAGAAGACAATTGTGCCAATAATTATGAAAGTGATGTATAAGTGAAAATTAAAAAAAAATTGAATTTTCAATGTAATTGAAAAAAACGATATTGTCAAAAAAAGAAATGAGTCGTTAAATAATGTTTGTTATTTCAATATTGTGTAGAATTCATATAGAGTGTTCAAATATAAATCTTGAAATATCTCGAAACAAGAGATACATGACTTATCTATCAGACCACTTTCATAATTATGGGCACAATCAATAGAATATTTTTAAACGTTCAATACACGGACATGATAGTAATAAATGGAAAAAAAAATCTTGATCCCTGTTTAAAAGATATCACAAAAAGTGTACAATTCTTTATGTAATTGTTAATTAATTATATAATTATATTTTATCTTATATTACTTCACTCATGTTTTTTTTTTTTTTAATATCTCATTTACGTTCTTACGTCTTACAATAACAATTTGAATTAATCTTCTATCCTTACATTCATCTATAAACGTATATTATTATTATTGTGTTCAAACCCTGGTATTATTATTAATTGTTAGATTTATATTGTAATTTACCTTCGTTGCGAGACAATTAAAAAAAAAAAAAAACCAACTTATCGAAACAACTCGTAGGTATACTTTGAAGTAAGTTATAATTATCAATGACTCATTGTTATCTGAAGTGTTAATGTGAAATTTAAAATTTAAAAAAAAAAAAACAAAAGAAAAAACCTGGAAATTAATTTTCACAAACAAAGAAAAAATCTAATATTATATATATATATATTATTTTATTTTATTTATCGTTTTTAAATGATAACATGCACTACTTATGTCTGCAAATCCTTATCACAGTTATTTTAATTGTGTAAGTGTAAGATTATTTTTTACATCCATTCGGCAATATCAAACGAGATAAACGTAGTGACAAAGTAGACACGTTGTTAACAAAAGGATGTAAATTATGAATGAATCGAATATACATATGATACATTAGAAAATATTATTAATAAATTAAACTAAATTTCAAATACATTTTAAATCAATTACTTAAAAAAAAAGAAAATTTCTTCGTGTATTACGTTCGCGAAAAGTATGTAAACTGAAACTTTGGAAAAATAATGTTTAAATAGAAACCGGTTAACCACAGTGCTAGATACATGTAGAAAAGAAAATTTTTTTATTTTCGATATAACTTTTCTAATGAATTGTATGGTGAATTAATTACATGTCTTGAATTAATCATTGGGTTTTTTTTTTTTTTTTTTTTTTCCATTAAAATGTCAAGGTAAATTCTTGTCATAGATTGTAAGAAAATGTTTATTATTATTTTATTTATTCTTAATCCCACTGTATCAAATTGTAAATTATTATATTTGTTGGTTTTACTAATTGTACAAATAGGACATTCAGTTTTTCTATTATCTACAAATTATTACGAAACAATGTGATTATTCTAATCATCTATTTTTTCTATCATCAAAATTTTGATAAACAAAATTTCAAATCAATTTTCATTATTCATTAATAGAAGCTGTGAGTTAAAAAATAAGTTAATAATAATAATCATAATTTTTCTTCTTTCTAAAATATAAATATATAATGAATAAATTGAAACGAACGAACGAACGAACGAACGAACGAACGAACGAACGAACGAGTGAACGAACGATCTAGCAAAGATGATCGATAAAAAGTAAAAGAGTTGAAACCAGTACTAGTACTATACTTTAAAAGCGGTAAAAGAGAAAGGAAAATAATAAAACAGATACGCAAAAGATAAATATTAACGAAAGAATAATCAAGTTGTTGAATAAAGATGAATAAACCAATGAAGTATTAGATTCTCACAATTGCACTGTTAATAATCGTCTGATTGTAACTATAGTCACTATTTGTATAATATTGTTAAAAGCTTAAATCACTGTTACCAACAACGTTAATAATTTCTTAACACAAAAAATGAGAGTGAAAGAGAGAGAGAGAGAGAGAGAGAGAGAGAGAGAGAGAGAGAAAGAGAGAAAGAGAGATAAACATACTACAAACAAAGAATAAGATAAAACAGATCTTTCAATAAAAGGTGCATACAGTACAAAGAGTGGCAGTAAACTGGCTCTTAGACACGACTTAATACCACTTAACTTACTTAAGTTAGACTCGTATCAGACTTTGAGGGAGTTCCTTTATATTACGTCTAGTAGGGGTGACGCGTCGTCATTTTGTAGGATGCCAACACGCATGCTCCGTATTTTAAATAAGCAAAAACTGGATACAACTATTCTTTTCTCTATAAAAAATAATATATTTTTTCACCTTTCCTTATAAATGCCATTATGTTTTTCTTCCTTTATGTTTCTTCTTCTTCTTCTTCTTCTTCTTCTTTTTCTTTTATTTGTTTTTTTCTTTATTATTATATTAAAATGATATTCCTCCTTTTTTTTTTGTTTTTTATTAACAACAATTAATGTCATATTATTATCATCATTAATTAATTATATTAATTATTTAACGATTTATACATGTACATTTGTAGATGTACAAAAATAATCATTGTGACAAATTATTATACATTAATAATGTGTGTGTGTATATTTTTTAACTTAACTTATTTGTGATGTCATTTTTTGATGATTTACTTTATGTTTTTTTTTTGTCTAATCATATCATTATCGTTCAATCATACTCAGCTCTTCTGAAGGTTTCTGAAGTTTATTTGTATTTTTCTTTAGTATTACATATAAATATCCTACTAATTTATTCTTTTCTGATATAATAAAAAGAAGAAATAGAGAGAGAGAGAGAGAGAGAGAGAGAACGAGAACCATAAAAAAAATGAAATAAAAACTTGAGTATGGAGACATTTTTTTTTTTTTGAACAATTCAATTACCTTGATCTTTATATCTTCAATAAAAATAATGAGTGAAAGAATTTAACATTAAAATGATATGAAATGATAACGAAAACGCGTGTATGATAATTTTAAAATGGCTAATGAATAATTCTATGGTAATTCATGACGAGTCATCTGAAGGAAACAATAAATATCAATGTGAATAAATTAGGTGTATCTTGTATTTTTTTTTTTTTTTTTTAACACATACAAATATTTATTCGACCATATAGTGAGAATAATTAACTATTTCCAAATAGTTTGACATGTTATTTTCATAAATATTTATCCAACACTGTTATAGATCTTTTACAAGTTTCTCTATTTTTTTTTCCTTTCCTGTTTTTTTTTCTTTTTTTACAAAAATACAATTTTAAATTACTTTAGATTTTTCTTCATTTATTTTCGAATTTGATTTGATCATTTCCTTTCCCATTCCCCATAACGATAATTACTAAAAACAACACATTCTTATATATAATACGCTTATATAAAAACATACATTATAGGAAGTATAACAATTTTTCTTAATAAAAAAAAAAAAAAACATATATATATTTTTATTCGTAGTAAATATTATATTGTAAAATATACGTAAAAATGTATGATTGTATTTTTATATCTATATATATGTATATAGTGGTGTCATGAATATCCTTATTTTATTATCATGTTTATTCGTTGTCTCATAATAAAAAAAAAAAAAAAAAATAGAAAATAAAAAAAGAAGACAAAACTGTTCTACACAAAAGTGCACGTGGTCTCACCACTCTTGTTATATGTATTTTGTTTCGTCATTATTGAACTCATAGATTTATATTTATTTTTTATTTCATTAATAATTATAGAATGTAAGTACTTATTTACATTGACAATATAAAATAGATGATCTTTTTCTTGTCCTTTTTTTTTTCTTTCTTCGAAACAGAAGATTGACAATTATCTGGCAAGATTAAAATTGTTTATGCAACTAAGTTTGTTTTTTACGAGAATTAAAAATGAAAAGATTTAAAATGTTTGACATTTGAGATGTTATCGTTAAAAAAAAGAAAAAAAAAAAAAAACATTAATTATCTTGCATCGCTATCATTACAGTTATACATTTATTAACAATATGCAAAAGATAAATAATTGGAATAATTCAATATTTATACATCATACATAAAACATTATAATACTGACAATGTGTGAGGAAGTTTTATTTGATAAACATGTCTTGAAAGATCCATCTTTTCAATGATAATTGATAAAAGAGAAATATTTTGTTGCCGATAAATGACTGTAAATTTATGGAAAAGTTGGCCAATTATATAAGATGAAGATATTAAGCGTATATGGAACTAAAAAATGGATACATTGATGAACATCTTATATATTTCAAGAAAAGGATTGATCTTTTGAACTACGTTTAGAAAAACTTTTTTAATTCATTGTTTCTATAATGTTTTCTATATATGCTGTATAAATATTGAATGACATTAATAAATAAACATCTTTATAGATTTTGGATAATTGCATAAACATTCGCTATTCAATCATCATTATTATTCGACGAAAGAAAGTTATTATGTTGTATTAACAATTACGACTGTAAATATTGTTTATTAATTATACGTGTAAAAAATTATAAAAAGTGTTAAGCGATTCAATTGAAATTCTCTATCTATTTTGCAGTATTTTGCAGTAATTTGCAGTATTTATATATTTCAATATTGAACGCAATTAATAATGATCGTTAGTCTGACATATTTACCTCTTATGAATTTTAAATAACAACTCTTATAATGATTATAATAATATTAACAGTAAAATCACAATAGTAATAATCATAATAATAATAATAATAATAATAATAATAATAATAGTAATAACAATAGTAATTGCACCTAATGATAGAGTACCCTGAATAAGAAAAGCACATGATTTATAATTAACCAACATTATCTAAAATAATTCAAAACTAAAGATAAATAAATAATCATTTCATTTCATTTTATTTTCATGATATATAGCTTTTTTTGTAACAAATATCTTTCGCGTTTATTAAAATGAAAAGTGTTATTTGGCAAGCAAAACAAAAGATCTTTCATTTGTTACTTGTTCAACTTGTTCAACTTGTATGAACAAGTGTTGTATTCGATAGCACCGTTTAATCAAATTAGATCAATATTTCGCGATAGATCTTTTTTATACAATTAAATCCTATTCTTCTTACTTTTTTTCTACTTTTCGTCGTCGTCGAGATCGTCGTAAATTAGTAGACAAAATGTAAAGACAAACAATTATATATCGAATGAAATGTGATTAATCCATTATCGTGAAGACTTTAGTTTCCAACGTAGAAATATATAGGCTGCGATTCTTAAAATAACGAATATCAAAAGTAATGCTAGAATGTCTAAGGTGAAATCTGCGTCGAGCATGTCGAGCTCCTCCAAGGTTGTTTCTGGATTTTTGAAATGGCAGTATACCTGTGAATAAAAAGACAAACAACATTTTTATCGATTATTTCTATTGACAACGACACTCAGGTGAAAGTTATCAATTGTTGTATTACATTAATCATCCTATTTTCAAACTTGCGTGTGAAAGTTGTGGTATTAATTTATTTATTTTCTTCCTTTTTTACGCAATCAATCAATCAATGATTTCAAATGAGAAAGCAATTTGTGTCAAAAATGATTGTAATGAATTACCTGGAAGCATTTAAGTTTTTCTCTTGCGAATGAATATGTTGCCAATGCAGTTCCTTCAAAACCATATCTAATGTAACTAAGATAAGTTATCCATCTAAGATAAACAGGAATGGCGTCGAAACTGACGAAAAATCCTGAGAATAGAAGGAACGGTACCGACATTACTGGTGCTAAAAATACACCATTTTGTACGTTCATGGCAGCCCCAACTACAAGGCCAACCGATTGTGCAACGAATGATATTAACAGGCAGGCACTTAGGAACATGCTGAATCTGTTCACATCAGCCGGTTGACTTGTTAGAAAATAAACAATTGTCACGTAAATTATACAGAAGATTGCCTGAAACAACATAAACAAACATATTGTACGAATAATGAAAAGATTAAATAATATATATGTATATGTATATGTATATGTTGAATATAAAAATTAGTTTAATTTACCTGAAAAGGTATGTCCGACACAGTGATGGCCAAATAATAAGCTTTTAGTGAGTACCATCTGTTAAAATTTTCTTTCAAAAGTACCGGCAGTTCTAACGGGACTAAAATATTGATCAGTTAGACAAATGTATTTTTAATTGTACCTAACAAAATGTCATAATGAATAATTAACGATATTTACAAGATAAAATTGTAATGGTCATGGATGTGTACATGAGGAACAGCATGTTGAAGAATAAAAATCCAAGATTGCTAAGTACTTTAGCACCATCATTACCAATATCATAATAAAGGGCACTTATCAGAAAGCCTACCAAAATATGTGCGAATAGACGAAGATACATCAGAGTCTAAAAACACATTTATTCAAAATATATTAATATTGTTATTATTATGTTGTATATGTGTAAATATATTTTCTTAAGGACTTACCCAATCTCTTCGACTAAAAAGTAATGCCCTCTTAAGTACTATCCAAAATTGTAAGAATTCCGAAACAGGATATCTCTTAGGTGTTACGACAATTGTGTCATCGAGAAGTGCCGTGTTGACGTTGTCTTTTTCATTAGAAACGGGTATCGTAACTTCGTTACCTGTCATCAAAATAATCAAATATATTTAACAAAATCTTCTTAATATTTGAAATAAAAATAATATGCTATTATTAAGGTTAATCGTTTTGTCCTATGAATCGGGTCAATTCAAAAATCTATTGGAAGATAAGAAAAAGATAAGAAGAAATGTTGAATTCACCTTGTTTAACGATATCGTTGGTTGCATAACTGGGAATAATTCCTCCGTTGGTAACTTCCTTCATTTGTGCATTATTAGCAGTAAATTTTTCTTCGATATTACTGACATCATTTTTATCTTTAACTTCTCGTTGATTACCAACTGATTCAATGTCTTTATCAATATTTGTGTGTGAATTAGCTGTACCATTATTTAAAGTTTCACTTTTTAATTCGGGAAAATGATGTCCTTCGCGTATATCGTATTGTCCATTTTTTATTGCGCTCACCAATTTCTTTATATTATCCCCGTACTCGCCGCAAGCAACTTCGATTACTACCAAAAAATTCGTAATGACATTAATTAATTAAATAAACAATTTCAAAGGCCTCTTTTTTTTCTTCAATTTGTTCATTTCTTACGAATAATAATAATAATAATAATAATAATAATAATGATTCGATGAAATTACTTACTGAATGAAGCTGGATTGTGATAACTTGGACAATTTAAGCCAATTGTTCTTAGAAAAGGTACTAATTGAGAACTAGATCCTTGATAAACGCATTGACCTTCGGCCAAGGTATACAACGCATCAAACATTTCAAATAATCTTGCACTAGGCTGATGAATCGTACAAATGATTGTTCTCCCACCACGTGCTAGCGTCTTCAACAAGGATATACATTGAAAGCAAGATGACGAATCCAATCCACTGTAAAATGTAAATCATTCCTTATTATAATACAATATATATATTTTTGAAGAAAGTGAATTTGAAAGAAGTTTTTTTTTTTCAAGAATCCGTTGGCCCTGAATATATATGTTCATGATTATAATGTTCATGAGAAGAAGTATATTTATTATCAACAAAATTGGTAGAAGTGAAAGGAAATAAAAAAAAAAAAAGAAAAATGAATTTTGTAAATGTTAAATATAAACAAGTCAAATATTGATTAATTCAATACAAAGGTTTATATTATATAGCAGATTTCACTGTCACTGCATTCTAAGAAAGTGAAAGCGTTCTTTCGAACTTCACCAACTTTTCCTTTCGATTTATTTCAAACCTATATGATATAACTTTCAGTATCTTATAAAGTATTTTAATAAAAGTATGAAATAAAAAAAAAAAGTGTTGACATGAGCTATTTACCTAGTAGGCTCGTCAAAAAACATTATAGGTGGATTGTTGACGAGTTCAAGTGCAATCGAAAGCCTTTTTTTCTGGCCTCCGCTTAAATTCGAAGTCATCGTATTTCTGTGTTCAGACAAGCCAAGAGTTTCCAATATTTCTTGTATCTGAAAAAAACAAACAAACAAACAAAATGAATATATACTATTAAACCAGCTAATAATAAAATAAATAATATTTGAAATAAAAAGACTAAGCAATACAAAAAAAGAAATGTGTGTTATTTATACGCACAACTTCTTCCTTTTCATCCTTTGGAACGTGTTTTTCAAGTTTAAGATTCGTAGCAACCTTCATAGCTTCTGCGACAGTTAAATTGGCATGCAACTGATTATCTTGCATGATGTAGCAAGAGAGTTTTCTGAAGGCACTTAAATTCCTTTCGTGTCCATTCATCGTTATACTTCCTTCTACTCCTGTTGACCTAAACAACAACAACAACAACAACAAAATACAAGTTTAATAATAATATTAAAATATTTGATCCTTGTCAAAAGATTCCAAAATAAATAAATAAAAGATGCGTTTATTCTTAGTATAAATATTCAAATGGAAAATGTATGTTAGTTTAGAATAAGAAATAATTCCCCTTTTTTCTTCTTCTTTATCTTTTGACGAATTTATATAATCTGAGAAAGTGAAACAGTTTCACTTTCGAATAAAAAGTAAAGGTAATTTGCTCATTTGATTTTATAAGAGAAAAAAAAAAATAGAGAAAGAACCAGTTGAAAAAGCAATAAAATTTTGTTTATAAAACTTGGTCCATCGTAATGAAAATTCATTTGGCAAATATGAAATAAAAAATAAAAAGTCAAGGACTTGGTCACGTTGAATGATTAATTCCTATCACGATAAGAAGTATAGAGGTCAAGCCACACACGTGGGTAAGTAAAAAAAGAATAATCATGTTCTCCGTGTTGATTTGAAAGAGACAAAAAAAGATGGGGAAAAACTCGTAACCTTTCTTTGCGATTGTATTAAATAAATATTTAAGAAGGTGTTAATAAAGAATAAATAAATATTCACTTACTTATATCCAGTGAGTATATTTAACAGAGTTGACTTTCCAGCACCGGATGGTCCCATAATGGCTGTCAACTCGCTGGAACGTAACCTTCCGCTTACAGAATTTAATATTGTTTTTATATCTGTAAATATATAAAAATTAAGAAATTAACATTAAACAAAATATTATTAAATAAATATTAATATTATTATTATTATTATTAATTTGAATGGTCAATATTATCAATGCAAGTTTACTAATGCAATCACATTATATACCATGACGATTCATGATATTTTTATCACAAGGATGATTAGTAGCATTTGTGGTTCTGGATATCAAACAAAGAGTGTCATAAAAGCTGAACAAAGTCCACACAACGATGAACAAATGCATCATTCTGTTTTGTTCGTCAATCAAAAAAAAAAAAAAATAAATAAAAATTAAAAAAAAAACGTAAAGTGACAGAGAATAGATCAATTTTCGAGCATAATGTCTACATTAGTAGCAATGTGTTTAAATGAATGTTAAATAAGAAAAAGGAATGATTGAAATTGAAAAGAAAAGACATTGATAAGCAAACGTGGATAATACGATGAATCATTTTTACTATGCAGTTCTTTATTGAATACGAACGTAATTCTAATGCACATTGAAAGCACACGCATATAAAGAGAAGACACCTTAAAAGAATAAGAAAATATTCTAGAAATTAATTCAATATCCCATTAATAATGGATAACCGAATGCGAATGAATGTTAAAAGTTCGATGAGTTTATCGAGAAAAATAAAAATGTGATCAAGAAATACAATTGTTAATGACAATTATACGAAATATATATTTCGTTTCATTATTTTCTTCATAAGTATCGAACAGAATCAGTAGAAGATATATATATATATATATATTTTTTTTTTTATTCCATTTAGTTTTTATTCATCTCTTCAGAATCAAGAAATGCAATTATACTGAAACGTTTTCATTTGTCTTTTTTTTTTATTGTGAAAAAACTAGACGGATAAAGCAAGATAATTGAATATAATTAAAGAAATAATGTACAAAAAAAATGGAATTTATAATCGAACGTAATATAAAATCTTAATTTAACATGTCATATTTTTCAACTAACGACTAGGGATAAAAATGATTAACATAATTTAATTGATAAATCATACTAATTGCAAAGAAAACAAAAAAAAAAAGAAGAGACGGAAGTTTAAAAATACATTTCTAATCATTTTGTATTATTTGTTTTTTTTTTTTTTTCGATACAGTATAGTTGTTTAATAAGAACATTTTATCAAATGTAAATATTATATCCTTTCGAATGATATAATTATTATTTGTTTGTCTCTCGTTAGAAATGATTTCAATGACAATCAGATTTATATGATGTCCTTTTTTTCTTATTTACCTCGTAATACATGGAAAATATTTTAACACGCAACATTTTTCTATCGGATCTTTTTCTACGTTCTTCGTGAAGAAAAAAGAAAAAAAACTTGAATCGAACGGAACGAATGTTATTATTCAATTACTGTATAAGAAGAATAAAGTACGAATTTTTTGTACAAATAATAACGAAGTTTTCAAGACTGCAATTATTAATATCAAAAGAAAACTGTTATGATCGTATGAAGAAATAAAGTTTTCTTTTTTCTAATCACAATCAGTGTTTATATAAATTTTCAATGAAACTAAATTTAATCGTACCTTATCACAATTTTTATTTATAATAAAAAAAATCCTGTATGAACGACAATGATATGATCGTGCAAGTGCAGAGAAAGGACCTTGAAGTATTTAATTAAATTTTGAAAAAAAGAAAAAAAAGATAATGTAGCAAACAATTCAATAGATAAAAAGTTAATAATTTCTTCAATACGAACAAATATGAATCATTAATTTTATTCCTATTGACGTTTAATCAAAATATTAATTAAATTATTATTAATTATTTAGATAGATAAATAATGAATTAATTGTTGTGAAACGTGTCCCAATGAAATGTATATTGCACGTTTTTAATACTAAACCAAAAAAAAAATACATTCTCAAGGTAGATGTATAAAGTAAGAAAGAAAAAAGAGAAAAAGAAAAGAAAACACGAATGACGTAGGGAATAATAATAAAAATCATTCCTGTTTGCAACTTGTACATATTAAAATATTCATCATATGCGAATGCAGCATGTACATATACCTATGCAAATGTATTTTTCACTATGATTAAGAATTGCCGATAAGAGAGAGAGAGAGAGAGAGAGAGAGAGAGAGAGAGAGAGAGAGGAAAGGAAATATCACATCTTCTCTAACATGTGATATTTCTTACGTTTTTGTCTCTTTTTTTGTTGTGTCATCTAATCTAAAGTCCAAGAAACCTATAATATGGCTGGCTCATTATTCATCTTCTTTTCTTTTCTTTTTTTTTCTTTTTTTTTTTAATTATATTTTTTTCTTTCATTCAATAATACAAACGATTATTTCGCATTAACTCTTTCTTTTATCATCAAAATAATATCAATATATATAGGTAAATATTTTTTAATGAACAAATTAAACATCACAAAATACACACACACACATTACATAATTAATCAATGTCAAGCACAGTGCTTAATTTAAAAAAAAATAGTTTAGATATATGTTTGTTATTTAAAATTACTGCCATATTACTATATATATATATATATATATATAGTAAAAATACACTTGATTGGATATTACGATTATCATATATTTCGATCTCACGAATCTCGTTTTTATTCGTATTACAAAATAATCGGCAAATAATCGTTAGTATTTTACTTAAAAAAAAAAAAAAAAAAAAAAATATATATAACACTAGAAAAATATAATAAAATTTACATTAGAATATTTTTCTAAACGATATTGCAATATTTAATGCATGTGTATATATAAATATANAAAAAAAAAATCAAATGAGAATAGAAAAAATAGACGAAAAGAAAATGGGCAAATAAATAGTTCTCGATCAAATTCCCATATATATATATATATATATATATATATATATATAACACTAGAAAAATATAATAAAATTTACATTAGAATATTTTTCTAAACGATATTGCTCACATATATATATATATATATATATATATATATATAACACTAGAAAAATATAATAAAATTTACATTAGAATATTTTTCTAAACGATATTGCAATATTTAATGCATGTGTATATATAAATATAATAATTATAGTATAAATAATTAATACTCACATACACACACATAGAGAAAAAAACCAGACAAACAGATAGAGAGAGACAGACGTAATAAAAAAAAATAAATATATATATATATAAAAAAACTTACTATTTTTTCGTCCTTCTTGAACTTTGTAAACAAGATTGGAGAAAGCCAAATCAACCGGGGGCCTTTTAGGTAAATGCGTAATCGTTTTTGGTTGGGTCGGTATGATTTGTAATCGTACAGCAGAATTTTTTCTTGAATGTAATAATATCCCATTGGAATCGTCATCCTTGGAACAATTTCCTTCGAGCTTCATGGTTAATTATTATCCTCCTTTTTCTCTTCTCTTATTTGATTTGATAAAAAATTTGCTTCTCCTTCTTCTTCTCTTCTTCTTCTTCTTGAAACGTTACACGCACGCACTAACTCACAACAAATAGCAATAATAAAAAATTGTCTCCACTTTTGTTCCGTTTATCTTGTTTTTATTTTTGATTCCTCACAAGATTATTTATTGCAGAATCAACAAGTATGTTTCTTTTTTCTTCGTTTCAGCATACATTTGACGGCCAATCTCTTCGTTCAGGTTTATCAATTTTATTTTCACCTCCTGTAAAAATATTTTTAATCTTTTTACTAATTCAATGAAAATTCTTTTCAAAGATTTTTTCAAATAATCTTAATAAATTCTTAATATCAAAATAGAAGATAAAATGATGTGAATAATATTCGTACTCTTCTTATCAATAAATTTTCGAAATAACTCGACTCAAATGCTTACGCTCGCACACTCACACATGCCAAAAGAACGAATCTTTTTTTTACTAGCACTCCTCTCCTCCCCCACAGACTTCTCACAACCAAAGAATGGCAAACACTTTCAAACCACTCTCTCTTTTCAGAGAAATTTCCTGATCGAAGAATATAATTTTAAAAAATATCATTATATTTTCTTTCCAACCACCAACGACGACCAATAATAATAATAATAATAATAATAATAACTATTATTATACGTGTCAATACTACAAAATGAATTGTAATACCTTGATTTTGTAATCGATTTTAATTGACTCGTACACTTATTTTGCTTTGTCCTTAACACACAAATCATTTGTAATTTATAAACCAAATTTTGACATGACACATGAAGAATAAGAAAATAGAAATACGATTTAATTCGATGATTTTCGTTGAAGTAATGTAATAAAACGATCAATACAAGAGTACAAATTTAAATGATCAATTAGCAACATAACAATAACGACAACAACAACAACAACAACAACATCATTAATAGTAATAATAATTTGAAGAAAATATATATAAGAGAAATGGAAGGAAAGTAAGAAACCCCTCCCCTTCACGAAACGCACGTCTCAATGTCTTGAGACCAACTGATTTCACTCTGACCGCTGTATCAACACATTCCCTGTCATTGATCGTTGTTATCCCCATATTCCCCTCTACTCTCTCATTCTCTCTCTTTCTATCTTTAAATATCTTTATTTATCAGATAAATTCTTTCTCGTTATATTACTTCCCCACCTCCCCCCACCCCTCCCCTATACTTTCGTTTGAAATTTTCTTTCATTTTATATGATTTTTTTTTTTTTTTTTTTTTTTTTTTTTTTTTTTTTTTTTTACAAAGAAAATTATTATATCATATTTGATTGAATTGCAAATATTGACGAGAAGTAAACGTAAGAAGAAGAAGAAGAAAAAAAAATATTATAATATTGACGTGATGAGTATAAAGAAGAATTTGTATTGTTTTCCCCTCTCTGTCTCTCGTTATGCATTTAAATAATATGTAAGTACTTGAAGTGATTCACTTTATAATTAGAATACAAATATTTTCATGTATATAGATATCTTTGATATTTGATTTTGACTTGATTTTTTTATTTTAGTTGTCTTAATCGACACTCCATTATTTCTATTTCTTCCTCTTTCTTGTATATTTTTTGTCATGGTTTTTTTTTTTGGCAAGAGACAAATGATCATTTTCATCGTCCTACTTTATTATTGTAATATCGTAACATCTCGAGAGGAACCCATAGACAATTTGGTGAAAGTTAAGGAGAACGCTGAAGCTACAATTGTACGATTTTCTTTTTTTATTGTTTATAATAAAAGGACGTTAAGAGATGAATAAAATAAGATAACATTGACCCTAATCCATTGCTTTCTAATGTTTCATTTAAATTGCAATGATGTAATCTTTAAAATGAACATTGAAATTCTAATTTGAATTGTTCTTTTTTTTTTTTCAATGACTCGGTTTAATAAGTAAAATGTTATAGGCCTCGTTTAATCATTTCTTTCGTAATATTTTTGTGTGTATAATTTTGAAACAACAAAATCACTTCTACATTAAATCCTTAGAAATAGCAATCTTCATGAAGTTTCACGTTTTACGTTGTAATTCTTTCATTTCTTTTTACGTCACACATCCGTATTCATAATTCTAAGAGAGGATTTAGGTCGATTGTTATGCTCACTTCGTCGAGATATCGATTTTAACATCGTAAAGTCATTGATCTTTTCATTCCCCATTAAGCGCAAGCAAACGAATGAAAAATAAATCAAAAATAATCCACGCGAATAAATAATACGATTGAAAACAACAACAGCAACAACAAAATAATATTAATTTATAAAAATTGAAGAGAAAACATTTTTTTTTTTTAATCTGATCCATTAGCTAACTTATTAAAAGTCATTTGTAGTTGAAACTCGTTTTGTAGAAACAATAAGCCGTTATGATCGCCATCAAAAAACGCTCGTTTTCTTAATGTTTTACGTCATAAGGTAGAGTACGCACTCACGTTTTCAACTAACACACATACACACCTGTTTACACGTATCTCTCTCTCTCTCTCTTACGAATACACAAAAGATTTCTTAATATGAATTTATTTGATCTATCGATCTATCCATTCTATCTTCTTTCTTTACATATAATCGTTTTCGTCAATTTTAATTGCAAAATCACTAACATATGATTAGGAGAATGATTGTGGAAAATATTTAAAAATGAACAAAATAAAAAGGGAACTTATTATCTTTTTACCGCTGTTTTTTTATAGTTTTTTTTTATATTTTTCTTATCACATTTATTTCTATTTCTTTTTTTCCTTTTTTTATTTATTAATTTTACCCAAATAATTTGGTAAAAACATTAACATAGATTTGCATATTGAATTTTTCTATTTTAAGTTTACCCTGTTGTTATTTAACAAGATTTCATTCACTTCCAATTTTTGCGTGTGTTATATTTTTTATAATTAAGTAAAAATAAATGTCAGGTTTTCCTTAACATTAATCAATCACGTTCAACATAATCGATGATTTATTCAAGACTAGAGATATAATTACTAAGAAGAAAAAAATAAAACAATAGTGATGCATAAATACGATTGAAACTAAGTTTAGAATGAATTGTTTTCAACTTACGAGAAATAATTATAAAAAAAACTCTTTCAAATTGATTAGGTAATACCAAAAAAAAAAGGTAGGGTAGTAAAATTTATAACTTATAATTAAAATGAAAAAACTTGCAACGCGTTTTATAACTATGTTATAAACATTACATTTATTATCAATAAAATACGATTTCACTGACTTTTCTATCTTTGTGTGAGAATACTGGAATAAAGGTCATTCAGACAACGAATAAGATCAAAGTCCATCAAGGAAGAAATAGTCGTAATCATTCAAATACATTATTAATATTATTATATTGTTAAGGAACATGTTCATGCAATTTATATACAAATTGTGTTTTATTGTTAGATAATTAATACTAATTTTGTAATATTTAAAAGAATAATGTAGTTTATTAAACTGAAAGAAAAATTGATAATCCAATAGGTGACGACTGATTACCCCCCATCCCCTTTCGCCTCCTCTGCTTTATCAATTATTTTATCTAGATCAAATTTGTTTTTATAATCACGTGTCTTTATTAAAGATTAAAGTGTAAAGATGCACGTGTACTTTGCACCTACTTGATATCATTTCTCAAACGAAGATAATTTATTATCAGATCTTAATTCAATTACATGCTTATTTTTTCTTCTTCTTCTTCTTCTTCTTCTTCTTCTTCTTTTTCATTTCTCACGTAATATTTCATTTGTATTTTTTTTTCTTCTTCTCTTTATTTCTAATGTGTTTCTAATGAGTGATTCCTGCATTAATATTTCTCGGAACAGTACTGACTAATGCATCAATTTTTTCTACCAGACAAATTTGTTAATCAAATGATATTAAACAGAAACTCATTAATAAATATTTTTACCGGATGATGATGATGATGATAATGGTTAATTGGAAAAGAAAAAAAAATTTTTCTTCTTAATACAATCACATTTGATTATAATTCTTTAAACATCGATCTTGTACAATATATTTTATGGATAAATAAAATACTTAAAAGAGAGAGATCGTAATTTTAAAATAAAAAAAAAAAAAACTTTAAATTTATCGATAAATAAATCGTGAGATATGCTGTTATAAAAGAAAGAAAGAAAGAAAGAAAGAAAAAAAAAGTTCAAAGTTTATGTTTTCAGTTATTTATAAATTTTATAGACGCTATAAATAATTGAAATGACAACTAATAAAAACTGTATAAACGTCTACATAATTATCAATGAATTAAAATTGATACTCTTGACGATACTCACCTATCGATTTCGTTATTGTTGCTGTTGTTATAGCAGTTGTTTTGCACATTGCGTTTCTCTTTTTCCATCATCACCATCATAATTGTTTATCTTTCTTTTTTATTCGATGATCCAATTTTTGGAGTTTAACTGTATTTGCTTCACTGCAAAAAAAACAAAGAAAATAAATGCATCAACTGCATACGCAGTCTATCACTCGTAACATCATAAGACATCTTCTTAATAAATATATATAAATAAAGTGTCACGTTGTTTGTCCGCAATGGACTCCTAAGCTGCTGAACCGATTTTAGTCAAATTTTGCACACTGTGTGCAGTTTCATTCAACTTGAAAGATAGGATAGTTTATATCTAAAGTCAAAGTAATGTTTACATGTAATAATAATAATAATAATTATTATTATTATTATTATTAAATTTAAACATAAAAAATTGTTGACGCGCGCGTATAAAAAGCAGGAATAATAATATACACGAGGTTGGTTATTTAGCCTTGAAAAAATAAAGAAACGCTTACACTGTCTTTTTTTTTTTTTTTTTTTTTTTTTTATATTTTTAAATATGACAATAAGTTTGATAACTTTATAAGGATAAAAAAAAGAGAGAATTTTTAATATATATCCCCTTGATTAGTAACGAGTTCCTTTAAGGTAAATTGTAAATTCATTTGCGATGAAATCATTTCAGTCCTCTTTCCTTTTCCCTCTTTTCTCTCTTTCTCTCTGAAATTGAATCTTGACAAGGAGCAGAAAACCGGTTTTATTTGATAGTCGTGGCAATAGCACTAATAAAACAGAATATCTACATAGATATAATTACTGTTGTTTTTTTTTTTACTCATGTTAATGACAAATTCAGCATTTAGCGTGCACAAACAGGTAAAGTTTTTTTTTTTTTTTTTCTATTGATAATAATCATGAGAAAAAAGAAAAAGAAAACAAAAACTCAAACAAGCATAAAAATAGTAAGGTGCGTGCCATCAATGCAATATTCCTATACTTGAACTCAAACTTTAAATATTATTCTTGACCTGTTCGAATATTACTTTGATTTGTTCTTTTTACGTGCATGTACCGTTTTATAATAATAAATTTACTGCAAAGTATGTCCAGGTATTATTACGACGTAATGAACAAATTATTCTCAGTCATTGTTAACGTAATTTTACGTAAGATTTGAACGTCTTAAACATATTTTATTTTAAAGTTAATAGAATTTTTAATATATTATATATAATACTTGTCACACACGCACATTTATATAAGAGAGATTATTAGGGGAGAGGTAACATTAAATTATTTAAAATAATAATAATTATTATTATTATCATTATAATTACGAAACGTTACAAACACTGCATACATAAAAAAAATATATTACAAATATACACATGTGAATACTTGTTCAATATTTTACTAATAATTTGCACAATGACGTCAAGAAACTTTGATCCTCCCTCTTGTTTTTTTTTTGCCTTTTACCATAAAAAAAAAAATAAAAATAAAAAAACAATAGCTTATCTCAGGTTTAAAGGTTGAATAATATACACTTGTCCACAATGTCACATACAATTATTATCCATTTGTTTTTTTAATGGACAAATCAAATGGAACGAGTAGATAAGTTTTTATAAATAATACGATATAAGTTTTATCTATCGAGTTTATAGATTGATCAATATGTTTTGAATATTCATTTTTCAATACTTTATTGTCACATTGTCAGAGAATTTCTCATTAATTCAAATAAATATTAAGCTGTAAGATGAAAACAAGAAAAAAATCATTATTTGCATTTTTTCTTCTTTTTTTTGGGGGAATATAAATCATACGACATACCGGAGAGTTACTTAAAATACATTTTGAAGCCTTTCATATGTAAGTATCAGACTTATTATCTTTGTTGAAATGATATAAGGTTTTTATAAACAATAAACAAACCAATTCTCTACTCGTTCATTTATTTATCTTGTTTTTTCATTTTCCTTTTTTTTTTCTTTTTTTTTTTTTTTTGAAATCAAAGGTGTTACGATTGTCTGAAAGTGAATGCAATGAAATGCAATGAATGCAATTGAAATTTTTTTTTCAATTGGATATTAAAAGAAGAAAAAAAAACGATTGTATAATATTCTGGAAACACTTACGTGAATAAAAGAAAMAAMMAAAAAAAAAAACACACAGCAAAACGATAAAGTCTATCAAGGTTGTTAATTTTGAATTATCCTCGATGGATTCTCCTATCAATGAGACCTTTTTCAATTATTTATTTATATATTTAATTTTAATTCACATAGAGAAAAAAATATTAAGAAAATGTAGCAAAGAAAAAAAGAAAAAGAAACCATATAAAACTTGAATCCGTTTATTAGTTAGTGTTGTAAGATTTGATTCAATTTATTAGAAACGATTCGAAACGACAAAGAATCTTGACAAACATCGTTGAATGTTCATCAAGAACTGACTCTTTATTCTCTCCCACTTTGACAAGTCTTGTCTCTAGAATTACGCCCTTCCTTTCTAATTGCTAAATACAACGTTTAATTATTCATGCCAATCCAACTTGGCTCGTTAAAGTTGCCGTCTGATTGGCCAGACAATAATGAGATCGAAATACTTTCGATAGTGTTAACTTTGTGTGTGTGTGTGTTTTTTTTATCTTTCTTTTTCAAAAATATACACTTTCATATATACATATCTTTTTGTCTTATTACTTTTTCTCTTGTATGTTTTACTTTTTTTTTTAGTCTAATAACTTTAATCCCTTAATTATTATAAATGACAGTGAAAAATATTTCGATGTAATATATTTCGATAGATCGATTACTTAGTCATTGATCTTCTTCGTCTTCTTGGAATCGTTGAGTAATTAAAGAATTGTAGTTGCTCTATTTGTCGTTTTTAGTATCTTCTTTTTTCACTATTTATTTCACTATATTAATAATAATACAGTTAAGAAACTATGATGAATTACTAGTGTAGTTAATTACGTATATCAGTTCACTGTATCCGTCACGAATAATACGAGGAAAATAAACATGGCGTATGACAAGATGACTGACCAAGTTCTCAATGCGATTTAACTCTATCACTAACGGCAAAGAACTGAACTAAAACTTTCAAGTTTACTATTGATGATACTCGCTTGACAAAGTATTATTATTTTCATTGATTTTTCTTTGTTTGATAATTAAAAGGCTTTTGGTAAATCCATTTTGATACAACATATTTCACACTTGATAACATTTGCTAAATTATTCTTTAACGATTGATGATGTAACATCTAAGGTAATTTTAGGTTAAGCTAATTGGTAAAGTAGAAAACTTCTATTTCTTATCGAATTTATAAAAGATTTACTTTCGTAACAACATTACTATCATATAACGATTGTAAATAATATTAATTTACGTCACTTCCTGTATAATTATGAAAACAAACTAATAAATGCTATATAATTAAATATAATATGATTGTATTGAGTATAAAGTGACGATGCAAGATACCTTAACAATTAATAAATAAATAACATAGTATTATTGACAATTAAATCTTGTTTTTAGGAATAAATTAAGTTATGAAAAAAATAGAGTGTCACACGGGTAACGTAGTGATAGCATGGCATTAACAGGATATTACTTTTTTTCCTTATCCTATTAAATGACGTAATGTTAAGAAAATTATTTCTACGAATAATATCAAATACTTTTTTTTTTAAATATTATTATAAACATATTATTACACAAATTAATTACAAGTCATCGTTAATGAATTTTTCTTCGTTGTAATATATGATATAAAATTTGTTAATTAAAAAAAATGAATGTCGTTGCAACGAAATTTGCAGCAGCTTCGTGCGTACGTGAAAAATTTATAATATTCACAATGGCAGAAATTTGCAGAGAAAATTAACGCAATCGTCGTGCTTCTCGTTCAGATTCCAAAAGCGTTAAAATATCTCCTTCACGAACGGGTCCTTTAACATTTCGGATGATTTGTCTGTTCTGTTCGTTTAAAAATTCCACTTTGACTTGGGTACATTGACCTTGAGAGCCCGTTCTGCCGAGCACCTTTACAACTCGTGCACGAACTATCGGTGTTTCCATGATATTTCAATGAAACTATTAATCACTTTCGTTCGATATAAATTAATTTTCGTTCAACGAAATCGTTATCGATCGTTAACGATTACACTTACGTAATGTAGTATTCTATAAGTTATTTTAAAGTCTTTCAACTTCTGCCAACTGTCGTAAATACTGACATTAAATTGAATAAGAAACTAAAAGAAGTTACATAAAAAGGTACACGGGATAAGAATTAAATTCACCTAGATATTGAATTGTTAATATTTGAAGATTCAATTATACATTTGTTATTGTGATTTAAAAAGAAAATTGTCAAGTAAATTGATAGTTAGTATGATAATGCATAATTATTAATTTGGTAGCATTGACGTCGAGTAAGTTAGAACAAAAATAGCAACTCGTAGGAGAGAAGTCAAATCGTCGTTGGAAAATCAAGAGAAGCGAGTGTTAGTTAGAAAAAATTTCAAAATTCGCGCCTACGGGTCAAAACGTCAACTCAAAACGCCGTCTGTCGGAAATTTCGAGAATATTATTCAAATTTAAATCCATCCTTCCTTCCTTCCTTCCTTCGCGCCTTTCTAGTTTATTATATATATATATAAATAAATATCGTATGTGAGTATTAGTTACAATTGATTTTATTCGCTTGTGCTTTAGTACAAATGTCACATTATTTTCCTTGCCTAATAATAACAAGAAAGAAATATGTCTTTCGATATTATTTCTTTTTATATGTATATATCCCAATTTTATTCGAAATATATTCACGCGATGTGAATGTGAATTTTATTTGCTAAGAGATACCCTTTATATGCGTCATACAACACGACGACTACATTTATTTCCCTTTCTTTCTTTCTTTCTTCCTTTCTTTCTTTCTTACTTTCATTCTGAGGATTTTTGTTCTTATCACCACTTACGCATGTATCACGCACGCATGCACAAAGACGAACAACAACATTCTTTCATATAAAATTTACATATCGTACGTGAAAAATTGTTAATGTATTATCTTGATAAATAAGCAGTACGTGGTCTGATTCGACGATGTTAATTAATTCATTAATTAATTAAACAATCTCGTCAGTATGTATTCGATATACATATGTTTTCTTTTTTTTTTTTTTCGAAACTTCAGATTTATCGCTACAAATGAGAATTAAAAACTATCTAAACTATTTATGTATAATATGTATATGCATTTATGAATGTAAGTATGTATGTATGCATGTATTTATATTACCTACAGGGAAAGATAGAAAGAGAGAAAGAGATATGATTTCAGCTGCGTATTATATAATATTATTATATTAAATCGATCATTTTAATTATATAACATTTCTTTCTTCTTTTGTCTTATTTGAACACAATACGAGCAACAGACACCATCTTTATTTTATTTTCTTTTTTGTTTGTTTATAATATATTCTTATTTCTTCTACTTTTTTCTTCCTTCCTTCCTTCCTTCCTTCCTTCCTTCCTTCCTTCTTCCGTCAATTCGCGCGGATTAATGAATTTCAGAGGGAAGATACTTTTTTTTTTTTTTTAAGGAATGTTTGTAAGACGAGGATAAAAAATAAAACAGAAATAAATTATATTATAGGAAATATATTCCACAGAAGGCAGTATTAATTAAATAACATTTGAATCATCCTATTTGCGAATGCGTGTCATTTCGTTTAAGCCCAAGGGTCGGCAATCTTTTGAGTTGGAAGAGCCAAAAATTACAATTTACAAAATTTCAAAGTTTTTCAAGAGCCACAAAATATAGTTAGTACTCGCCTGAATAAAGTTTTTTGATACAAAAAAAAAATGAATCTATTTATTCATCGGTGCCTATTCCTCGTTTATTCAAAGAGCCGCAGGTTGCCAACTCCCTGGTTTAGCCGAAATAATGTATGATAGATTTTATAAGACTGGTGTAAATCATTCTTAAATATTACTACAACTAATTATTATCGTAAGTGTTGTTTTTATTGATCCAATAATTATTTCATTCGTTAGGCGCATTACTTTTTTTTTATATCCAATATTTTAATTATTTATTTATTTATTTATACATAGAGAAAGATTTTTATTGTATTTTTGGTATTAATAAGCTTGAAAAGAAGCTCGTGAAACATAAATAAATAAAAATTCTTTTTATTTACACCGATCTTATATCATTTTTTTTTTTTTTTTTTTTTTTTACTATTTTCTTGATTTTAATTTATTTTTATTTTGGTTTTTGTTCTATTCATTGCATTGTTCGGAAAATGCTCTGTAAAAGAGCGAAGGCAAGGATTTTTAAATTGTGAAATTGTATCATATTTTTTTGTTTGTGTATTTATTTTTTAAAATCTTTTTTTTTTCATTTTTAATTGGTTTCTTTTCTTCTTCTTCTTCTCCTTCTTCTTCTTCTTCTTCTTGTTATATTATTAACAATACATTTATTATGTGTACAAAAAGAGCTATGCGATAATGATCCCATGTTCTACATATAATAATAATAATTATCATTCCTTGCTGATGTTATTATATCGATACTTTTGTTTATAAATCACAGGTTATTCGGAAAAGTAATCATCATTTTGTTCTTTTTTTATTTAACGAGTTTATCATAACTTCGACGTTTTTCATTATTATTTTTTTTTTTTTTTTTTTCATTTCTTTTCTTTCTTTCATTTTGTCGTTGGAAAGACAAACATTTGAAAATTAAAATCAAATAACTTTCAGATCGTTGTTTCATTTATTATTCTATAGGAATGAGTCTTGTAAAAGAATTTTTTTAAATAATACAAAAGAGAACAATTTTGAAAAAAAAAAAACAATGAAATTAATTCTAGTAAAAAATTAAAACTAATAAAAAATGTAGGGGGAAGGGGAAGGGGAAGGGGAAGGGAATCCTTTTACACAAAACAAAATATAATATATATGTTAAATAGAAATATGTATAAATTAAAATCAAACTATTATTTGCCACGACTAAAAAAATATTATGAAAGTAATCTATCCACACACACGTATATAAACTAATATACATATTTTCTAAGTATATCTATATATATGGAATATATAAAAAAAAAAATGATACACTAAATAAGCGATCGAAGCAGGAATATAGGAGTATTATTTCAAATTTACTTCAAAGAGAAAATTTGATGATGAGACAGAGAGAATGATTATTAATTAACTAGTTAACTGTAATTAACGAGTATACATATATGTATATATATACTTATCACGAAAAAATGGAAATATTTTATATTATCGTTTGATTTTTGTGATACAAAGTCATCACAGTTAACTTATTGAATAACAAATTATAATAAACATTTGATCGTCTGACGAGTACATACACATCATTAAACAAATTATTGCCATTTCTTCGTGACAAGTTTACTCGTCAATCACAGATAGAATTTGTTAACTCTTTGCGGCACAGAATTTCAGATACTAATAAAATATCCTCCCTATGTTTGCACGTTTTAAATTAAATCAAATTGCTATATATTATTTTTTATTAATAAAGGTATTACATAATAACCAAATTAATAACCAAAAGGTGGGGGGAAACTTTTAAATCCCACCGTGCCCCAAAGAGTTGTTGTTGTTGTTAATCGAACAAAAAGAAAATTTCTATCTAGAATCAAACTAACGGAGATAGAATATATATATAAAAAAAAATAAAAGAAAAAGAAAACAAAAAGAAAACGAATATAATAATAAGATTATTTATGTAATAATAAGTAATACATTGTCATGTTTCGATATAAATACTGATTTTATATCACCTAAACCAGTCAAACGATGAAAAACAAATTAACAATTTTAATATTTATTTGTAAATGTTAAAAAGAGAAATAAAAATAAAAATTTTAAAAAAAAAACATCACCATATACATATTTTATAATAATTATTAATAATTAACAATTAATAATATAGGAAAGATCGATGAATTCCGAATCTGAGTGAATAAGAAGCTTTCTTTCTTTCTTTCTTTCTTTCTTTCTTTCTTTCTTTCTTTCTCTCTTTCTTTCTGTTTCTTAATTGCTCGCTCATTTATTGACTGG